ACTCCCAGAGTTATATAAGCCGGTGGATGCTCCTCCCAGTTGTCTTTTCACCAGACCAAAACCACTAAGTTATGTAACAATCCTAAAAAACACTGAGCCATGAGAAAAAAGAATTGACAGGGCAGACACGATAGAAGGTTTAACGTGCATTAAATTAAGCCCAAACAAATCCTCACTTTCTGACACTGGCAGGAAACAAACGAGGAACGGCCACCACTTTGGGACATTTAAAATCAGGGAAGGTCTCATTGCCCTGAACCTGCAGCAGAAAGCTCTGCCGCCGCCAGCAAACACGACAGGAATTAACCCGCATGTGACTGTGGGAGTGTGAACACAGCAAGGGCAGTGATCACCTCTGAAGACTGGGGGAAATGCAAAGCCGTACCTTAGTGCCCTGGGAAGGAAATGCTTCTTCAAAATCGGCCAGGATTTGCTGTCCTAACTCAGTCTGCGCAGCCTTCACTCTGTGAGGGAGAGAGAACATATCATCATCTGGCATGATATCCTGAAGTAACTGTGCACTGATCCACAGGGTCGAACAGCTAAAGTCTTTAGAGAGAGGCCAGGAAGGGTACAGAGACATGCACGAGGTGAGAGGTCGCACGCTAGCTGAGCGGCAGGTTAGAGAGAGGCCAGGAAGGGTACAGAAACGTGCACAAGGTGAGAGGTCCACGCTAGGTGACTGGCAGGTTAGAGAGAGGCCAGGAAGGGTACAGAGATGTGCACGAGGTGAGAGGTCACACGCTACGTTAGAGAGAGGCCAGGAAGGGTACAGAGACGTGCACGAGGTGAGAGGTTGCACGCTAGGTGAGTGGCCAGTTAAAGGCCAGGAAGGGTACAGGGACATGCACGAGGTGAGAGGTCGCACGCTAGCCGAGTGGCAGGTTGATGAGCAGACTCAGGCATCCAAGGTATTCTCCAAGGTATTCTCAGGGTGAATTTTCTACATCCCCAAAATTGTTCTAGGCCAACCCTTTACCTGAGGTTGTGTTAATTTTTCTACAATTCTATTAGGGGGTAGTTATGCTGTGGGAAATGTTACAGTATCACATCCAAATCAAATATAAATCTAGCTAGGCGCAGTGGCTCATGCCTGGAATCCCAGCATGTGGAAGGCTGAGGTGAGAGGATCGCTTGAGGCCAGGACTTCAAGACCAGCCTGGGCAACACAGAGAGATCCAGTCTCTACAAAAAACAAACTAAAATAAAAAGTACCCAGGTGTGGCAGCACACACCTGTACTCGGGAGGCTGAGGTGGTGGGATCTCTGGAGCCCAGGACTTTGAGGATACACTGAGCTATGATCAGACCACAGCACTCCAGCCTGGGTGACAGAGCAAGACCTTGGCTCTAAAACAAAACAAAACACTAACAAATGACAAAAAAATATAAATCCATTTTGGATTGCTGATATAACTGTTCTCCTACTCCTTGGAGTACAGAATGGGAAGAGGGCTCTATGGTGTTTTAGGGTGTTTTTTAAAAAATTATTGTGTCTGAGGTATGTTAAGTGACAAAAAAAATTACTAGGGGTATGTAATCACTGCATATATTTATGGGGTACCTGTGAAGTTTTGATATAGGCATAGGACATATAATAATCAAATCAGGGTAATGGGTATCCATCACCCCAAGTTATGTGTTACTTCTCTGTGTTAGGAACATTCCAATTCCAATCTTTCAGTTATTTTTAAATATACGATAAATGACTGTTAACTGTAGTCACCCCACTGTTCTACCAAATCCCAGCTCTAATCATCCTAACAGCATGTGTACCCACCAGCCATCCCCGCTGTGTCCCCAGCTCTCCTCAACCTAACGGCACGTGTACCCACCAGCCATCCCCAGTGACCCCAGCTCTCATCATCCTAACTGCACGTGTACCCACCAGCCATCCCCACTGTGTCCCCAGCTCTCATCATCCTAACTGCACGTGTACCCACCAGCCATCCCCGCTGTGTCCCCAGCTCTCATCATACTAACTGAATGTGTACCCACCAGCCATCCCCACTGTGTCCTCAGCTCTCATCATCCTAACGGCACGTGTACCCACCAGCCATCCCCACTGTGTCCCCAGCTCTCA